ACCTGATCATGGATAAAGTAATCATGGATTACTTTAGCACTGATCATGGATAAAGTAATACTTACTGAAAAATGTGCATGTGTATGTGTTCTGCCTTCAAGTTACTTAAGAGAGGGGCTGGGGATTTAGCTCAGCGGCAAAAGTGCCTGCCTGGCAAGCGCAAGGTCGTGAGTTCGGTTCCCGGTACCGGAGAAAAACCACAAAAAAAAAAAAAAAAAAAAAAGATATCCAGGCTGGGCTAGAACTTGACATCTTCCTGCCTCAGCCTCCAAGTGACTGGAGACTACGAGTGTTTGTAGCTTCTTCATTGCTTCTTCCAGTTGGAAAGCACAGGGTTGTAGCTACAGGTGGGATCACAACGAGTGCTTTCCTTAACAGTGGATGGAACCTGGCATTGGATCCTACATTGTTCAGGTAGGATTTACAGTATTTGCTTTTATTTTTCCAAGCCATAAGTAGAGTATTTTAAGTTTGTAAAAACAGGGGGGTGAGGGCTGAAAGAATGGGTTTCTAAACAATGGCAGGAAAATAATGTCTGAACTAGGAAAAGATTAGTAACATAGAAAATCATCACCATGTTTTGCTTCAGCAGTTTGTGCTGAACCGGCCCTTGGCGGTAGTGGCCCAGTAGCAAAACAAAATAATAACAAAAACGAAAGCAAGCTGATCGGGGAAACACTGATTTGTATTAAAGGCAACTTGTTTGAAAACAGGAAAGTGTCTCCTTCTGTACTGATTCAAGTTGGCGTATTTGTGTCTGAGGTTTAAGAGTGTGAGTTAAAAGCTCGTAAGGGCGTAAGTTCCTTAGTGCTGTTGCCACTGCCTTGGACATGAGTCCAACCCTGATGCAGCTCATCTGGAGTTTTCCATCCTGAGCGCAGCGACACACATTTCTCTGGCTCCAGTGAGATAGGGGGTGGGGTTGGGGTGGGAGCTACTGCTGAGAGCCTTCCGATCTGCATGGGGGTAGTTGCTATTCATCAGCGTCTCTCGGCATGGTGCACGTGCTGTGATCCCACAACTCCAGAGGGAGGCTGAGGCATGAATGCAAGGCCAGCCTGGGCTACACAGTGAGCGATGTCCAAGCCAGCCTGGATTCCAGAGCGAGACCCTGTCCCAAAAGGCCAGAAAAAAATCCACCTGGAAACAAGAACTTTACATTTCACCACCTTCACTCAACTGAGGAAGTGCATTTTTACTCCTTATTCAAAGGGAAACGGGAGCAAGAAGCCTGTTTTTCTGTCTCCTGTGCTGGAAGCCCGTGTAGGCCTGATGGGCCCTGGCAGACCTGGGCCCTGCGGCTGCAGGAGGAGCTGGGAGGTCAGAGCTTGCCCTTTGCCTGCAGCTCCTGCCTGTGAGGCGCTTGTGTTCACTCCGCCGTGGCTCGGTTACCCAGGGTAGGGCTGTTCCTTCCCGAGAGAGAGCCCTGGCTGCTTGGTGCAGCTGCAGCCTGGAGCTGTGGCGGGCTTTGCAGCTGCATCTGTGCCCTCCGCCTCTCGGGGAGCCTGGTCTGTCACCTGGGGGTGTGTGGAGTGGGTCTCCCTGCAGATGCTGGTCCTGGAGAGGCGCTCCTGCGCCCCTTGGGAAGTGCACAGCCCGCTGCAGGCTCTTCCGTGACAGTATTGCACAGGGTTTGACTCACCCTGGTGGTGTCGCCGGCCTGTCACAGCTGGGCCGATGGAGCATGTGGGTGTTGTCTGTGCCTCCGCCACACCGCCTCTGCATCTTGTGAGGGTTTTGCAACTCGCGGTCTGTTGGAGGTGTTTTGTTTTTTTAATTTGTTCATCCCCCAAAGATGAAAGAGATCTGCCAGCATGAAGTTTGGAAAATGACACATACACCTGTGAAATTAGGCAAATTCTCTGAAGTTCGTATTCCAACCCAGACACACACTCTGCAACAATGCTTTGTTTTGTGTGATGGGTTTGTCTCCGGCGGGGCAGGTACAGGTGTGCAGGATGGGACAGGCTCAGAGAGAGGGAGAGAGCGTGCATCATTATCACTGTGTCAGACCCCAGCAGAGCCGACCTGGCCGCCCTCCAGGGCGGAGGCCACGCCTGGCTGTGAACCGAGCTCTGCGTTGCCCTCCCCTTGACTGCCCGATCGAGGTGGGGGCCATGGGCCCTAAGCCAGAGCCCTGTGTAGGTGAGCAGTGCAGGGCTGCTATGCCACCGTCTCCAGACCCCTTGGTCTGTGCCCTGAGTGTGGGGTGGCAACAGGAAGAGGAGCATGGCCGCTGGACATCTGGCCACACAGTCAGTCGTCCACACTGGCAGCCTGGCCCTGCCTGCTCGCAGGGCCCTGCCTGGCATTTTGGAGCCCCAGCCCCTGCAGAGAGGAGGGTGTGGTCTTGACGCTGTGTAAGCTGTCAGACACCTGGACAGCTGCCTTTGCTTCAAGAGCCTGAGATGCTGTCTGCTGACCTTCCTTCTGTCTCACAGCCAGGGGTGTGTGTGTGCATGTGTGTATGTGTGTGTGTGTGCCCGTGTGTGTATGCATGTACGTGTGGCCCAGGGCTCCCGGAGGGGTGGAGAAGGTGAGGGGTGACGTTTGGTGGCTGCAGTGTATTCCTTGTTACCACAGTCAGCTGAGAAAGCGCTGTCAGGCATTGGTAGGACTCTGACGTTGGTGGGCGAACGGTTCACTGGCCCTGAGTGAGTAACCCAGACCCGCCCATCAGCAGGAGAGACCTGGCTGGTTGTCCAGTTGTCCGTATCTGACCGTTGGGCATCAGTGGCAGCACCTGAAGTGTTATGCACAGTTGAGTGTGGATGATGCATGAGCTTCACGTGATTGTGCAGGTTCCGTGGAAGGACAGGAGCAGAAGTGCCTGCCCCAGACACTTGAGGCTCAGAGTCCCGCCTCAGCTTTCTGAGGTCCGCAGGTCCAGTTGGGGTCTGGGAATCGATTTGCTTTTCCAGGGAGTTTCCGGGAGCTGCAATTGCTGCTGAAACAGAGCTCAGTGTTGGGCAGACACTGTTTGCTGATTGGCTACTTATCATTAGCTAGTGAATCCAGGCTGCATCTTGAGAGCAGTTATTTTCTTAAAAATAGTTCCCCAAAGGTTAAATTAACAATTAAAGAACGAAGATGTGTGAGGTCCGTGTACCAACTCCCCACAAGCAATGTAATGGTATGTATTGCAAAATGCACTAAAAAATCTAAAAATACAAGAAGATGGAAAATTATATCATGCATGAACTAAATAAAAATCATTAAGCAGGTAAAGAATCACAGTAACAGGGCAGGGCCAGAAGTGGTGTCACCGAAATGAAGGATTAAAAAATAAATTTGATGAGAAGTGAGTCAGGCTCAAGTGTCGTTAGCTCATCAGAAAAGTTGGTGTGCTCGAAGGCCAGGTCTGGATGCAGCCTTCGCGTGGATGTCCCCCTCCCCTGACGGCTCCCCCAGAGCCGGTGCAGTGGATTAACCCCTTCCTTCCTTCCCCATGTTTCCCAGGCCCAGGTTTCATCTTTTTCTTGGCCTTAGGAAACCGCTTAGGAAAGTGTCACTGGGCCTTGCTCAGGATAGAAACATTTTGGATAATTACATGATCAAAATTTTTAGACTAGAATAGCACCTGTATTTTGGTGGAGTGCTTGCAGTTTCTAAAGCAAATGTGAACGTGTTCTTGCTGTAGTATATGAAGCTAGGGATTTTGATGACCTCAGTTACAAAGCTTTGTCAGCTGTCCATCGTGTGTCGGGCTCCGTGGAGAGGATCGCTCTCTTTCCTTCCTTCCTCGCGAGTGTTAGGAGCCCCAGTGCTCCCTTCCAGCAAACCTCTGCTTCTGGGCCGCGCAGTCCAAGGTCAGCTCTGTCCCCTATGTGTGGACACAGGCACTGGCTCTGAATAACCAGGAAAAGACAGTGGATCTCACACTGTCACACAGAACGTGTCCCCCACCACACAGCGTGATAACGGCTTAGAAATATGCAGGCAGGTGTAAGCTGGCCCTACCTTACCGCTCCTGGCCTTGGCCTTGGCCTTGATAACAATGAAGTTCAACTGAAAAATCATGGTTGAAGTATTAAGGGCAGTGACTAAACCCAAGGTGCCAGACCTGCTGCTTTCGGTTGCAAATGTGGTGAACCTGGGATTATAATGTAACAGAGGAAGTAAGAAGAACGCTCAAGTGACTGGGGTTTAGGGTGCCACAGCAGGAGCCTTTTCTGGCTCCCTCCATTTAAAATGGAATTTTTGTTTTGTTTTCCTTCCTTGCTTTCACCAGTTTCATACCTGGTGTACACAGTCTGTCTTCTTAGTGGGATTCTCCACTCTTTCCTTTCGGGCCGGGGCCGTCTGCTCTCAGCACTGCTGCTACCCAGAGGCCATGCACAGCACCTGTGGTAAATACGAGTGCAGTGCAGAAAGAATGGGAGGGTGGACATCCGAATTCTCAGGAAGAGAACAAGGTACCATGGAGAGGCTGGGGAACATTAGAGACGTGGAAAATGCCAGGGCTGGGGTGCAGCTGGCTTCACTCAGAGGGAAAACACTTGCTTAGCATACTGCAGGCCCTGGGTTCAGTCCCAGCACCAACAAACATGCACACACACACACACACACACACACACACACACACACACACACTGCACAACACACAAGTCACAAGCTTCAGATAATATCATCATAATTGTTCTATTTTATTATTAGTTGTTGTTAGTCCCTTATTGTGCCAAGTTTATGAATCAAGCCCTTGGTAGGTGTGTGTGTCAGTGTTATACAAGGTGTGGTTTTGGTGGGTTTAACTGTTCACTGGGGCCTTGTGATTTGTCTTCCCATGGACGAAGGTGAATACTGCTTCATGTTTGTAAAGACTACACTGCCTCAGTTTTTCATGATAGGGCTGCCACCTTCTGTAAACCGAGGACAACTTCATGGGCCTCTGATTACAAAATATTTGAATTTCCCTACCATCTCTGTCGTTAACTTCCTGGGTCAGCAGATGGGGCATTTACTAATGAGTTAAATTTTCTTAATGCTTGAGTTACTTTTTGGTAGTAAATTAGTCATTAGAGATTCTGGTTCCAACTTTGTCTGTATTTTTCCTCTAGCTGCTTCTTTCTGTGATGTCCATATTTAACCTACTGTATAAATTTAGTTGCCGATTGCAAGGTTTACATATGTTCTAATAAAATTGTTGTTTTCCTGGTAGCATCATTCAGTTAATTTGAAATCTCCCAAAGCAAGGGTTTTCAGGAAAAATGCATTTAAGTTATTTAAAATCTTTTCTGGTTTATATGCCAAAAGATGTTAATGCTGCCGTGTTTAAAAGTGGCCAAAGACTTTATAGAGAAGGATATTGCTTCACTTTTTTCAGATTAAAGAGTACATTTTTCCCCCTAAAGAAACAATTTGAATAAGACTTGACCCTTCCTCTCCATTTTACAATGATGTATGGTCACATTGAA